AAGCATAGAAGGTGGCTGGATTCCGCGTCTTCCAGGAAGAGATCTCGGGCACATGGCCCACCGTGCTGCCCTCTTGGGTGTGTGTGGGGGGGGACCCCATCCGCCGGCCCCAGTCCTTCCGAAGCCTCTTTGGCGGCAGGCCTTCCAAACTGGGGTAGATTGGTCCCTTTCCACTTCGGAAGCGGTGCAGCTGCACACGGGCGCGCTTGGGAAGGCCGGTTGGGGGAGCGGGGGGGGGCAGAGAACAGAAAGTGTTTTCACCTGGAGGGACCGGTCGTCCTCAAGCCTTCAAGGAGACTGGAGGCGGGCGAAAGAACTGGCTCCCGTCGCAGCCTTGGCCCCAGCGGCTGGGCCCGACACAATAGCGGTTTCCTTCCGGGCAGAAACAGGACCTCTTTCAAATTCTTCACGAGGCCTGGGAAGCTATTAAGAAAAATAAGAGGCTCTTGGGATGATTTGGGATGCTGCCGGGACTGGCTTTCTCTGTGCAGCTGCGGATGCTTCCTGTGGCGCTTTGCCCGCTACTTTGGAGCAGCGCCCTTCCTTTCTTAAAGCATTTCCAGGCAACTTTGGCCGGTGTGTGTCTGTGTTGTGTTGCTTCAAGAAGGAAGCTGTCACCTGGCTTGCAGTTGCAGCAATCCCCAGGGAGATTTGGAAACTCTGGCGGGGGGGCGGGGGAGAGAAACCCTGTGTCTACTGCTTGCCATTCAGTTGGGTCTCCACCATGTCATGGGCCTGGTGCACGCAGGTTTATCGGCTCGCTCCTGCCACAGGGACGTTGCTTAAAGTCAACTGACAGCCAACCAGCGTAGCGGCGGCTTCTAACATGTGGTGTGGGACAGCACGAGGTGGCAGCCCTTTGGGGTGGGTGGGGGAGGACTTGAAAACTGGACGGCCTCCGTCCGATTTGGAGGAGAGCATGCCCGAGTGTTGGCTTGCACGTTTTCAGGGTGATGTAGCCAGTGGAGGGTCTGGCCTTGACCCTTCTGCCGGAGCGGAGAGCTTAAACGGTGAGCAAAAATGTGCACCACCCTGCCCGGTCACCTGCTGAAAAGCCCTGGAGACTTTTTGCCATGTGCTCCGATTTGCTTGCCTTTTATGGCCACAGGTCTGACCCGTTCCGCTTCAGCACCGCATCCGGCTGCGTGCCGGGGCGAGGCCTGAGCTGGGTTCTCTAAGAGTAGCTTTCCTCTCTCTCCTTTGTGCCCTGATTTTTATTATTATTATTATTATTATTTAAGGCAGAATGCCCAGGTGAGGGGAATCCTTTCTGCATCTCCTCATGAGCTTTTCCGGGAGAGGAAGCCCCTCGCCCTCATGGTGAATGTGAAATATTCTCTACAGGCTGCAGCGCCCACACACGCACACCTCTCTCTCTTTTTAAACCCTCTGTGCCTTTTCCTTTTGAGCGTCCGCCTTCCTCAAGGGAGGCACCGGCGCTGCCTGAGCACTTTCGGATCAAAAGCGATGCCCGCGCTTTAACCAAAAAATATATAATCTGTCACCTTTTTAAAGGGAGGGGGAGTACAGTCAGGACCTGTGTCTTGTTCCAAATGAGGAGCTGGCTCTGCAAAAGTCAGCGCTTTTTCTCGCTTTGTTTGTTTTGGGAAGGGGGGGGGTGCCCAAAGTTTTACCACCAGGTTCTCGCTTTGTTTGTTTTGGGAAGGGGGGTGCCCAAAGTTTTACCACCAGATAGCTCAAGGGATGTTGGGTCTCCGGCTGCGGAGCTTGAGGTTGGGAGTTTGATTCCTCCCACGGAGCCTCCTAGACAAGGGGCTGGACTGGAGGACCTTTAGGGGTCCCTTCCGGCACGGCCGTTCTGCTCTCCTCCTCCTTCTCTCCCATCGCCGACCGAGCCCTGACGGTCTGCCTGAGCATTCGCTGGAGGAGGCCTCCGAGTCCGCTTCCTGCCTCCATGCCTGCAGCGTGGAAAAACACCGGGGGGGGGTTGGCGGGGGGGGGGGACATATCTGAAAGACAGCCAGGCCCACCAAAGGAATGGCCGGTGTGTCCCCATCGGGCAGTGTGGATCTCCTTGGGTTCTGGCTGCTGAAGCTGCCTCCCAGCTGCCTCGCTGGTGTCGGCCTGATACAGTGCAGTATATTATTTTTTAAAATAGCTTGCAGAACAGTATAAGGAGGGGAGAAATCTCTCTCTCTCTTTGTGTGTCTGTGAGAGAGAGGGAGGGAAAGGTGCTCCATTTAAGGAGGGGGGCTGCTCTAGAAATCAAAGCACCCCCTTCCTCAGGATAAAAGGAATTCCGTCTGGACAGATCCCAGCACCCTTGAGAAAGAGCAGTGGAGAGTAGTGGTCACCATTGCTCCTTTTTGTATCAAGTGGCCCTGAGCGGCTTGGCCGAGGTCAGAGGTGGGATTTTTAACCCGGGACCTTCTGTGTCAGTAGGGTGACTCTTCCTGTCCAGGGAAGAGAGAGGATTTGTTATAGCTGTGCCCTCTGTGTGTGAGTGTGTGTGTGTATGTGTGTGTGTCCCGCTATAAGCCAGCTCAGGTGCTAAGATCATCACGGGAAGCCTTTCTCTCGGTCCTGCCACCTTTACGGTCCCGCATTGGATGGGGACCTGGGAGAGGAGGGCTACCTTATTGATGGCTGCTCCTTGAGACTCTGGAACTCCCTGCCACTGGAGGCCCACCTGGCCCTGTCTTCGCTCTCCTTCTGCCAGCAGGCCAAGTAGACCTTCCTATCCAGGCAGGCTTTCCCTTCAATGACCGCCTGCCCCAAAGGGTTTTTTCTTTTTTTAATGGATGGTGGTGCCTTACGGCTTGAAATGTGTTTTCGGTGTCACTGTGGTTTCCCATCTTTTTGTGTTGTCCTTTTTTTGGTCCTTTTTAGCATTTGTAGATTTACTGTTGCTATTTACTTTAAATATTGTCATTGGTCAATGCAAGCCGCCTTGAGTCCTTTTGAAAGGGAAAGGTGGGGTCAAAATATTTTAAAGACGTACCATCGTGCGGAGAGGGAGAGAAACAGGGAAAGGTGGCTCAAGAGCCACCCAGGGCGCTGCAGGGGTCAGTGGAAACGTGAACCCTGGCTAGTTTTTGTTTTTCAAAATCTTTGGACAGAATTTGAACTCCCAGGTAGGTGTGTGTGTCGGATTTTTGCCGCCGACAGGCCCCATCTGCTCCGTCCTCTCTTGTGCATTCATTTTCTCCAGCAAACATAAAATAAGTTTCGAGAAGCAACAATTCACCTTCAGATGAGATATGGAGTGGGTGGGAGGCGGCCATGTTGACCTTTTTAAAAATGGAGTTTTTAATGAAACTTTCAAAGGAGCGGCCACTTCTGGTTCTGCTCCCTCACGTTTCTGGGGGTCCGGGAGGAACCCAGGTGCCTAAAAGCTGGCCTCCAGAGCTGCCCGCCGGGCTCCCCCCATCAGGGCATTTGAGTTTCAGAGATGGAAAGGAATAGCAGTGTAGAAATGTTTCTCATACAGGAGTCAAAGGTGCCTTATATGTACCCTAAATAAAGGCTGGAAATAAGAATTTTCCATAAATAATGGTTTGTTGGTTGGTTATGTTCATGTATCCCGCCAACTCCAGGCGGGGGGGCACACGGCTTACAATCCTCCCCATATTATATATACAGTAGGACCCCATCTGTGGGATCTGTATCCACAGATTCACATGTCTGCTGCCTGGAAATATTAAATAACCCACCCACCCCCGAAATATGTATTTGTATGTATTTCCACGGAGTCAGTACCAGAAGCTGCCACTGGAGAGGGATAGAGAGCGTGCTATACATAGGTTTTGCTATTTCCGTTGTTTTCTGCATTTGCAGGAGAGAGGGGAGGAAAAATTGAACAGGGTTTTTAAACCTTCCTCCTGTGGAACTATCATTCCAGACTGCTTGTTTGGGGCTGTCTGTGGCGATCGTGGGGGGAGGTCTTTCTGGGCATGGGGAGAAGCATCTCCTACTCCTGCCTTTGCTAGTAGAGCTGGGAGGGGGGAGTCTGCATCTATATTGAGGCATTCTTGAAGTACATCTGTGGACAGATGTACAGAGGAGGGGGGGAAATCTGTTCTCCATCAATCACCCCAGCGGTCAGAACACTCCAGGAAGCCAGATTTAGCTGAATCTCAAAACTTCTGAACTGTACGACAATGGAAAAGAAAACCTGAGGGGGGGGGAACAGGAGAGGAGTGCCCTTCACAGACTTGGAAGAGGCTGTCCTGCAGAGGAGGGGCAGGATCTGTCCTCGATCCTCCCAGAGTGCAGGACATGTCAGAACGAGCTCAAGCGACAGGAAGCCAGATTTAAGCTGAATCTCAGGGAAAACATCCTGTTGGAGCAGTATGAGAACAGGAACCAGAACCTCAAGGAGAGACGGTGAGCCCTCCAGCACTGGAGGAACAGGGGACCACCCTCTCTGTTCTGATCTGTGTTGACTTGGATTCCTGCGCTGAGCAGGCAGGTTTTGGGACTCGTTGGCCTCTGAGGTTCCCTTCCTACTCCATGATGCTAGGATTCTATGATGCTAAAAAAAGAGCCACCCACGCAATTAACGCTAACCCTATTCGTCCCGTTCCCTGGGAATGTCAACCCTGTTTGAAGGTGAGTTTTGCATGTGGGTTTATTTTGTGTGGGGTGTAGATAAAGTTTGGGATAGAAACGGAGCAAGTCACCATACCTTTGGAGGGGGGTGCAAACCGTGTTGGAACGGGACAAGGGCCCTGTGATGATTCCAGCAGTAAAACAGCTGTTCAAGGAAGGAAGGTAGAATCCAGGTAGGCTCTCTGAAACATTTCCGTGTTTCATTTTCCACAAAAGGGGATCTGTCTCCCAGCCCAGGGACCCCAACGCAGGGCAAGAACAACTACAGATGGAATTTAATTCCATTAAATTGCTTTCACGAGGGCCACTTTCACTGGTCATGGAATGGAAGGTTGGCTCCATACAGGTCTCTCCGTTTGTACATATTTATTTATTTACTTTCTTACCTCTCTTTTTTTCTCTCTCTCTCTCTCTCTCATTGTTTCCAGGGAAATACAACTTCTACGGCGGCTGCGGCACAAAAATGTCATACAGCTGGTCGATGTACTGTACAATGAGGAGAAACAGAAGATATATCCTTTTTCAGAGTTTATGGTTGTTAACATTATTGTTACTGTGACCGTAGGTCAGCCCCGTCAGGCGTACAGAACTAAAATTCCATAATGGATCGTGTCGTATTTATTTACAGGTGGTTCAGAGCAGACTAAAATTCAAACGGCAATGAGGTGGAAGTTTCTAATTGCTTTCTTATCATACCAGGCGCTGCACAGATTTTTGCAACCATAGCTGTAATGTTCAGTTGAAGAAGCGGAGAGGAGAGAGACGTGAAATGTCTCGAGTCTCCCTGGATAGTGTTTCAAAATTGCAGAACTCTTGAGAAACCGTGCAGGACATATTCCAGTTTCCATCATCCCTGACTGGCCAGGCCAAAGGTGTTGATCATAAGGGAAATGTGAGTGTCTTCCCTCTAGAACTGCTGGATAGTTCGGGGGATTTGGTGTCTGGCTGCGTAGCCAGGTTGGGAGTTCGAATCCCCCACTGGGACTTCCAGACAGGGGCTGGACTGGATGACCCCAGGGGTCCCTTCCAGCTCTGCCATTCCAAGATGATTATTATGATTATTATTATTTTAGAAGCTTCCTATTTCCGCCAGGCAGGGTCTGCGGGAGACGGCTTTTCTGTCCCCTGAGCCCTGCTGTGGGGAAGCCACGCAAACTCCCAGAAATGGCAAGAAGGCAGAAGTTAGGCAGAAGTGCATTTCCAGTTTTGCAAAACATCGGTGTTTGGGGTTGTTCATCATTGCAGGGAAGGCCCCCGGGAGCCATTTAAAAGGTGAACTGGAAGAGTCTCAAGGAAGAGAAGAAAAAGGACTGTAGAGTTTTGCGTTGTGGTACTTTGTTGTGCTGGTCAGCGGAGCGTCTGGTAAGGGGAGGGGAGTGTCTGCCTTCAGCTTTCAGCATTTCTTAATGAGGCACACCCCTCCCACTGGGGTCCCTTTTAAGGAGAAAGACTGGCTAAAATATTTCAAAGAAGTATAGCCAGGAACTGAAAGCAGCCCCGGAGGATCACACGCAGCCCCAGACTCGCCCTTCCTTCACCCTCTTTGGGGCAGTGTGCTGGTTCGTAGGAGTGCCCGCATTCTGCCTACAGAAGGAAGGTCTCCGGGTTCGTTCCCGGCACCAGCCACCCCTGGTCAAAACGGGACAGGACAGGGTGGCCTTGGCAGGGTCCCCGGAGGAGAAGCGGCCGCTGATCAGGGCCCCCGGCTGAGAAATGTCACCCCAGGTGCTTCCTTGACTCTGCCTCGCACGTATATGGTGATGGAGTACTGCGTTTGTGGGATGCAGGAGATGTTAGACAGCGTCCCAGAGAAAAAGTTTCCCGTTTTTCAAGCACATGAGTAAGTAAGGCAGGGTTTTGACCGGCAAAACCGGCTTGTCTGTCATCATCTCTCTTTCCCGCCAGGTTTGGCCACCCAGGGATTGCCCGGTGAAATTCAATGACACTTGTTAAAGTCTTTCTTAATATTGTCGTAAGAGGTGGTTCTTAGCCTTTAGTACTGTGTTGCTGTTTTTAACACAATTAAAAGCTGCCTTGGGTCCTTTTGAGGAGGAAGGTGGGGTATAAATTTGTAAACAAAGAATTGGCCCTTGCTTTTCCAAAGGTTTGGCCTGTAATGCAGTCTGGAGCGTGGCTTTTAAGGGGCCTCTTTGCCCCCAATATTGAGGATGGTGGAAGTTCTTTTTAAAAAAAATAAAACCCTAGGGTTTCTTTACGCTTTTCTCCAGCCGTGTGCAAAGTTGGGAACTTTAGCTGATGCTTTTTAAAAAACACACACACAAAAACACGAGCCTCTTAGGAATTCCTGCTTTTTTCACTTAGAGTTATTTTTAGGATCCTTTTCTCCTCTAGAACCCTTTTGTGAAAATCCATATGTGGCTTTAAAAAAATTAAAGAAAGAAAATCCTTTCGTCAGGGTAGACTATTTTCCATTTATAGAACACAGCAGCCCTGTGAGGTGTGGATGAGTGTGTGTGTGAGAGAGAGGACTAAAGTTATAAGAAATCCAGGGGCTAGGGCTAAGAAACTCCATCTGAAGGCTGGCTTTCCCGAAAGTCCCTGAACTGGCCGGGGATGGAGGCTCAGGGAGAGACGTTGAATAATATTACATATTTTGGAAGAGGGCTAGCCTCTTGAGCGGAAGTGCTTCCTGCTGCAGCTCTCCGTTGCAGTCCACCATTTATAATAGCAGTGATGCTTGGCTGACCCTTCGAGCTGCCCAAAGCGCTCGGCCTGTTCTTTCTTACGCTTCTGCCTTACGCCAGCCTTTTAAGGCAGGCATGCTGTTCTGTCCTCCTAATGCAGAGGGAGGGGTTTGGTGAACTGCCCGAGGCCCCTTCGGGTGGTACGGTTTTCCACCTTGGTGTCCAGCTGGTCCTCCGTCAGCATTTGGTTGGGTCTGCGCTGTTTCCCAAGTGGTCTCCCCTTCTGGTGCCAGCTGGGTCTCCTGTCCCTCTGGATTGTGTCCCGGAGGTTCGCAGCAGGAAGTGTTACTTCAGTCTGCCGGAGGGGGGGACACCTCCTGATTTACAGCTCCCCCTTTTTGCCAGCGATGAATTGCAGCAACGCTCCAGCATTCCAAATCTGGACACGTTTGTTTGTTTGTCTCTTAACGTTTCATCCCTTTTTATTTCCCCCTTGTACCCGGACCCAACCCTTGCGCTGCGATACAGGTATTTTTGCCAGCTGATGGACGGCTTGGAGTACCTCCACAGCCAAGGCATCGTCCACAAGGACATCAAGCCAGGAAACCTGCTGCTAACCACCAACGGGACGCTGAAAATATCGGACCTGGGCGTGGCGGAGGTACGTGGGAAGCCACGGAGGCGCTGTGGCCGCAGGCCCGTAACTATAAAGGCAACGGCTTTGGACGCCTTTGGAAGAGCCCGCCACCCCCCCGGGGAGGGTCGTGTGCACTCTGTGGCCATTAGTCAAGGCAGCCGCATGTTATCTTCAGTGTCAGGAGCAGTCTACCTCTGAATTTGTAATGGCTTGCCACTGTGGTTCTATCAGGCCTACCAGCGGCATCTGATTGTCCGGGGTGGACACTGAATGGATGGCGGGGTTTGGTGCCATCCCAGCCCGCAGGGGAGGTTCAGCCAGCGGCTGGCTCTGCTTCTTTGAAGGCGGCTTTCACTTGGTGGGAGAACCTCCGTCAGCTTTTCCTGGCGCCAGACTCTCTTGACCTGCAGGACCCCAAGCCCTGTCCCCCGCATGCCAAGCCTGTTGGGCGTCAGGCCAGTCGTAGCCTTCATCGGTCCGGGCTTCTGAGGCCGGAAGTCTCCATGGACACCCGAGTTCTCTGGTGGCTCTTGCGCCAACTCACGGAGCTGTCTCCCCGCTTTCATTTCTTGTTTCCTGGGTTTGCCTAAGAGGGAGAGACGGAGAGAGAAAGAATGCAGTTCCCTTTCACCCCATGGAGGGCCAAAGCTGGCCGTTCGTTTGTGGCATTCTTCCTCTGTGAAACAAACCCCAGGAAGTTGGCCCTGTTCCCCTGGTGAGACAGCCACAGCTCTCCGACGGGCTTCCTTCCAGGAACGGAACCTGAGAGGTTTGACCCTGAAGGGCCTGACTGTTCTTGGCGCCCAGGTGGCCTCTGGCTTTTAATGGCAACCCAGTGAGTGTGTGTGTGAGCGAGGAAGTGGCCTGCCAAAGATTTCTGCACCTTCACAGCCCAGGCTGTCCGCTCTTGTAGACTCGAACCTGTGGCTTCCATTAGGGAGTTGATCCGTTTCCTCCTTGGTCGTCCTCTTTCGCTGCAGCCTTCCACCTTTCCTGACATGATTGTCTTGTCCAGAGAAGCCTGCCTTCTCCGTGATGCACTCGAAGGAGGATTCCGATTCCTTCGCAGCTGGTGGATGGAGGGGTGGCCAAGAGCACTGGCTCTCTCAATCCACCGCCCTTCCTTTCGAAGGCTGAGCCCCCCCTTTTTTTCTCATCTTCCTCCCTCAGGCGTTGCACCCGTTCGCGGAGGACGACATGTGCCGGACAAGCCAGGGGTCCCCTGCTTTCCAACCGCCGGAAATTGCGAACGGCCTGGACACCTTTTCTGGCTTCAAAGTGGATATTTGGTCTGCGGGCGTCACCCTGTATGTACCTGGGGGTGCAAAATGGAAATTCAAACCCTTGATTTTCTGGACAGGGGGGGCAGGATGGTGACTTCAGAGGAGAGACAGGCTGGGCGCCCGTCGGGTGCCTCTTTGCGTAACTTCTGGCAACCCCTGGCTGCCCAGGGAGTGGGGTGGGCTCTTTTCTGGCGCTTCTGCTGTTCACCACCGGGAGGGAGCCTGGACAAAATCAAATCATTTCTAGGAGATTTTGCAGGGCAAATGGATTCTGTTGTTTTCGTGAGTCTGTCGTT